AGATTAAATTTTACCTAAATGAAATAGCGAATCAAGACGGTAAGAGCAAAGATTAAATTTTACCTAAATGAAATAGCGAATCAAGACGGTAAGCCTTACTGCTGTGGTCGCCGTGCAGACTACAGATGAGATGAGACATGGACAGCGAGCCTCCGATCCAATCCAGCATCCAGGGCGGCAGCGGCACTGTAGCAGGGCACCAGGGCGTCTGTGCGTTAGGGGTCAGCCGTCAGGCGACGTGCGTGTCCTCTGTCATCGGGTCCAGATTATAGATTAATTAATTAGAAACCGGAAACATCATGTACCTAGTAGACGTCTGGACTTATCTATTGTTGCGTGGGCCGCGTCACATGGGCCTCCCGTCCTCCCATGATGACGTGATGCGATCCAAATATTTTTTAATTTTTTATAAATACGGCATATACATACGACTACTTAAATTAGTTGCCGTCGGTCTCGCAGGGTACCCGGCGTACCCTATGGCCCCGCCACTGTACATACATGCAACGCATGACTCTTCCACTTGATCACAGCTAACCAACTGCTTTCCAGCCCATGCTTCGTCAAGCCACTCCAATTCTATTTCTACATCTAGAGAAAGGCACACGAAGGCATGGAATATCCTTTTGAATACTCCAAAGCGAAGCAAAGCATGGAACAGGAAAAGTGGAGGAGTTGCCATGTGCTCAAGAATATGCTAAGGAAGATACCTCATTTTGGCCTGTGAAAAGGCAGTCCACCACCTAAGCTTCCACTCGCCGGAAGAAGCCTCAAGCTCTCTATATATGCATCCTCATCCAAAAATCTTCCATGGAGGACCTCTCACCAGGGCGTCCCTCTCTAGTTTCTACCCCCAACATTGGCCCGACGCAGCTGCCATGTAGCCCATGCAGCGTTCCCCCTCGGCTTCCCGGCGACGGCGGAAACTACAACGGGTGCTGACGGTGGTGCTGGTGCCCTGTTGATAGGGCACGGCAGCTGGCGTTCGGCCATGTAGGGCAACTATACATCTTTGGCAGGTCTTCATCTTCCGTGGGAATATGGTAATGGAGTGCGTGTATACCAGGGCGGCTCTGATGAGTCACAGTGGGAGATGCAATATCATGTATCCATTATCTTATCTTTATTACAACAGCAATAATGAGAATTATTAGTGAAGTGTACCTTTGGGCCCTTGGGGTGCAGCCGTGCAGGCCATTGTACATGTCTGTAGCGACAAGTCACGTTCTGTTGCCTTTCAGATCTTCCCAGCCTCTTTATGAAGTCTCATTTAATTAATTGGGTATATTTGTGTATATGCTCCACGCAAATTTAATGGAGTATATGTTGTACTCGATATTCTCTGATCATAGGACACGCACAATCATTACTGACAACAAACGGCAACATAACAGGCAGCTATATATATGATCTTCCATGGAACACAGTGGGTTCTCTCAAAAATAGCTACGAACATGTGATGAGTATGTGACACCCATTACTCTTCAATGAACCACGTTCCGACGTTCCCTCCTCGTGTGATGATATTGACAAAGCCATATACGACCTGCAGCGGCGAATCCACCACCCGGTGGGCGGTGGTGCTTGGAACAGAAGGGGGCGCGCGACGGCGCGAGCGAGGCTTGGAGAAGACCAGAACGCGCAGATGCCGGCGACCTGGACGGTTCCCGGGGACGGCGGCGCCTGGATTGGACACGAACGTACGGGCGGTGCAGGCGGGGGCGAGGCTCCGCTCGCGTGCGTGCCGATTCCCCCGGCAGAGCGGGGCGAGGCGGCTGCCGGTTTAGGCCCGCGGCGCTTGGTGGCCGGGCGGGCAGCGCCCCAAGCCCCCAGGCGGCCAGGCCCCAACCGTAAACGCAAGGAGGTACGACTACGACGGGTGCAAGGCGGCGGATCGGGAGAACTCGGCAGTCGGCACTGGGCGTGGGGTAGGATGGGAAAAAAATTTCGTGGGGGACCATCTCACAACCTTGAGCGGGCCATGTAGTTGATAGATGGGCCATGATACCATTTTAAGCGTACCCATGATTAATTGGATACCTGTACATCCGCATCGTGTTTTCGTGCGGACGGTTCTTAGTTGTGGCAGAAGAGTCTAATCTAATGTCTTTCAGAGTACTTGTCTTTCATTAGACACTAAATACTTAAGGGAGGACACTAAATTACGCAGTTCCGTCGAGCACACCCCCTGGGAAAACCTGAAAATCCATATTTTTCAACAGAATCATAAATGGGAGAATAAAGCTTACAACATTTTAGCCATTTCTTACATCACTTTACATACAACATCAGAGTATAATATTTATTGTTTATAACAGCGGAATATAACCATGTTATCAGAGTTTCAGCAAAAATAAAATCATTTAGTGACAAATTAAACATTAATATGATGATCTGTTATATACAACATAACAGGTTATACGTTTTTCCATTGTAAAATATTTTTGGGTGAAAGTTTCAAATAAACTCTATTTCGCAACGTTAAGGAAAATCCTCGCTGAGCCCACCAGGAGGTTTCCACACACAAGTGTCAGCTCCACACGTTCCTGTCACCTGCAACAGGGTAGAATAAACCCTGAGTACTCAATTGTACTCCGCAAGACTTACGTCAGAGGAAAGAAATGACTCAAGGATATGCATGGCTATCTGTATTTGTGTTTTTCTTTCAGATTGGATTTGGTGCGGTGTTTTTTTTTGCCATATATGTTTTTATTTTGGATTGGATTTTTTTGGCGTCGTTTTTTTTTGCCGTAGTAAGAGCATCTCCAAGAGTACCCATTATTTTTGTCCCTAAAACATGGAGTTTTGCAACTTCCAAAAAAAATTAGAAAGAATAATAAATGCCATTTCCAAAAGTTTCTAATATTTTTATCCTAAAAGTTTTTTGTGCAGCATTTTTTCCACGACCCAGCGATACGATGTTTTGTATCAGGAACATTGAATTTGTTTCTGTGCCCGTTTAAGTCTTCCCAGATCTTTCATTCTTACACTTTTCTCATCTAAGAACCCTGTATTTTCTCCTTTTCCTTTATCAGTGTTTTTTATTGATCTACTGATCTTAAAATGTCGTGATATTACAGAAACACTTTTTGAGGCAGATCAATCTTTGTCGAATGGTTGATCTGATTAATTACATATGAATGCCACAGGTGATATTTAAAATAATTCGACAGCACATGTTATAAGACCGGTTATTTTAACTAGAGTATGCCAATTGTTTGGATCATTGACAATCTAAAACCTTTGACCGCGCCACATGATTGTGGAAGATGACATCGCAATTGGTAGTTAAGCACCCTCACTCGTTCTTGTTTATTAGAAAAAAGATCGATAGTTGTGCATTGCGTATTGCTCGTAGTCGAATGATTGCAGCAACTGATGGAATGGCTAGCACATTTTTTTTTTCAATTTATAACAGTCCCTTTCCCAATGCTGTAGTATACATGATGGTTTTCTTGCTTTTGTTTTTTTGCTCTTTGCTTCGTTAAACATAAATGATAAGAAATTTTTTATTATGGCTGGGGAGACGTCAGGAAGCGTTAGCTGTGTTAATGATTGGTGAACCCATATGAGGGAAGGCGTTGAGAGGCGTTAATTAGGGAGGCATCAGGAGGCGTTGGATGTGTCTATGGTCGGTGGGCTCATATGCGCCGTAACGCCTCCAAAGTTGAGAGGATTAGGTTCAAATAAAAGAGGGACAATTCTTTTTTCATAGTTATTTTTTTTAATTAAGGGTAAAACGGTAAATCCATAATTATAAAAATAATATTTTGAGTAATATAGTTGGGATTGTAAGACGTTTGACTTTTTTGCCCTAAGTTTGACCACTCGTCTTATTTAAAAAATTTATGCAAATATAGTCAAATTTAAGTCATTCTTGAAGAATTTTTATTAATAAACCAAACCACGATGAAAGAAGTGATATTTTACACAAATTTTTGAATAAGACGAGTGGTCAAACTTGGTGTCAAAAAAGTCAAACATCTTATAATTTGGGATGGATTGAGTATGATTTAAGTACTGTAATTATATTAATATTTGCTTTTTTAAAAAAAAGATGAATATTTTTGTCTCTTAGGGTTCATTCGCCGCCGTCGTCCGCCGTCCGTCCGCGGGAGGACCTCGACGCGCTGCGCCGCTCCTGCATCGTCTCCGGCGAGATCCGGGCCCGACCCCTCCTCACCAGCCCTCAGCTCCCCAACCGAGCACATGGAGGCCGCGGCGGCGACTGCGCTCAGGGTTAGATGAATATTTTGTTCGTGAGTTCATTCTCCGTCTCTGTCTCTGCCGCCGTCCATCCGTCCGCCGTCGCCGCCGTCCGCCGAGGGTAGGATGAGGACGAGGGCGAAGGCAGGGCGGCGGCAGTTGCGGCCTGACATCACGGAGTCTCCGCAGAGATCCGGCTCCACGGGATGCCAGGTGCCATGGGATTGGAGCCTTGCGTGAAGAAGGAGGTGATGAAGGCGGCGGCAGAGGCGAGTTTGACAACGGCGCCGCTCTGGTGGCTGTTGGTGTGTGCATAGGTCTGCCCGTTCATCTCCAATTCCACCCCCTCCCCTGCTGTCGTGCTCGCATTTCCCCTTCCACCATGGCATGGTCCCCGGCGCCCGGAGTGCCCGAAGACCTGATCCGGCTCCACCTCCGTCGACTTCTTCCTCGTCTCCACCGCTGCCGCCGTCCTCACCCCCCACCGCCACCGTCCTCGCCCCCACCTCCGTCTCCTGGATCTGCGTGATCTACTGATCTGTGCATCATTGATTGAGCCCTTTGATTCGACATTACTACTAATTGCTTATGTGCTTATACTCTCATGAATTTGCAATATTCAGTTAGTCTCTAATTACCAGCAGTCCCTGGGTTTGCTGCATCTGGCAACAGGAGAAGCTCAGGGTTGATGGGTGGTTTTGATTCTTTGCACGATGGATTAAGTGATAAGCTTGCTAATGTGGCATGCAACATCCAAATGGAGGAGGATAAGGACGACGACGACGAATGGGAAGATGAGGAATTTGAGTTCAGGCCTGATCCGTTTAAGTGAGGTTCGACATATTATGTTCGTCATCTCTTTTGCAACCTATATGATTTTGTTATCCTGTGTAAGCATTCAGGAATTAGTGGGTAAGTGTGTGGGCTAGAAATGTTTGCTATCCTGAAATCACAATTAAATTGTGTGTTTTACTAGCTGATGTTCGTTAACAAAATGGGAAAATATCCTGAAGTATTGGTGTACATTTGTGAAAGTCTAAAGGGATAATTCTGTAAAGGCACAATTTAATGTTATATTGTTACTTTAGACACTTTTTAACTTGTTATAAGGAATTCCCAGCCTTTGGATTTTACAAACACAGGATGCAGTAAGGGCTTTAAACTTTAAAATTAAAGTACTGTTGCAAAATGCTGCAAAAACCTGATCCACGGTTGGGGCTTGGGACAAGCCACGCTTGCAGCTGCTAGGTTGTGAAGATTACTTTTCTGTGTGTATGTGGTATGTGTGAGTAATTTTATTTGCTATGGTAGTATGATTCATGAATTTTAGCAAGGGCTGCTTTTGGTGATTATAGTATTCAGTGCATTAGCTAGAGATAACTTATAAAAATGTGCAGTGACAGGTCTTCATTTTTTATGGAAGTGTCTTTCACTTTCATGGAAGCATACCTTTCTTTTTGCTGATTGGTTCAATAATGATAGTTGAGAAGGATACTTTCTAATTCTGCCATCCTCTCTGCTGATCAGTACTTCCTTTCTAATGACAACAATTTGTTTCTTTCATTAGTCACAGCATCGCATATATAGTTGGTGATTCTTCTGAAAGGAAACTGATCAATGTTTTTGCATAATGTCCAAAGTAACTGAGATGATGTACACCTTTGTTCCTTATAAATAAGGCTCAGTTAAGGGAGATTCATATACGACAAGTACTGATATCATTTTTATTTTTAGAATTTTGTATATTTATAGGAATTAAAAAAAAATGATGCGTTCAAGTACTGCTGTACAGTCTGTAGCTAGGGTGTACTCTGTTCTAACTTCCTGTGCTGTTGCGGTATTGTCTTGTGTTGGCCGATTAAATTGATCTCAACCATATTTGATCTGCCGTGACTATCATGTACTCTGGTTGGTTAGCCTGTGTAATTAAATTCAGTTGATCTCACGAAGGAAACTAGCTGCTAGATATCTGATGTTCTGTCCCTGCTGAGGATCAGACAGTAGGATATCTGTTTATCAATTGAGATTTTGAAATGTGAATTGTCTTTTGTCAGACCTGCATTTAATAATTGAGTTATGCCACACATCAAGTATATTATAAATTACCTGCTGTCCATTTTTTGATTTTGGAGAAAAAAATCGGCCAAATATCTGGCCAAGCATTCTGTGCGGCCGATCGTCAGTGTATGTCAAAGTGTACTGCAATGTTCTAATTGGACGAAGTGATATGTTGAATATTGCAGGACCTATGGATGCAGAGTCGCGGCAGGAGCATGACGAGCTGGAACAGAGGATGAAGCATGAGCGTGAAGAAATGGATAGTGTGGTTATGCTTCACCGTACTGAAATGTACATCAAGCTGAGAGAAGAGCGTGCATCCTTGGGCCGTGCACTCAAAGGAGGAACATGACAAAATGGATACCAACATCATGCTTCAACGGGACATGCTCTTAGACAGAAAAATACTATACGATGGTTGTCTAACAGTGCAGAAACCAGCAGTCAAACAGGGCCAAAGGAACCAAACTGCATGTGACTGTTACTTGTAGTCAGAGCAACAGTGTGGGCTGTCTGAAGCCTGCAAACTTACTTGTTCTATCTAGCAGCCCATTTACTAACTTTACTGTCATTTTACAGTTTTCGATTGGCATTATCTTCTCTCTTTTATCAGCAGCTTCATCCTGAGTGCAAAAGGTTCAGTAGCTAGCATACTTGCTGATCACATTTCGATTGCTCCTTTGTTGTCGACAGATTAATTCATTGGTAAATTTATGACGTGATGAACATCTGTTGTTTCACTATCCAGGTTCTCACTGCCATAGGGAACTTTTGCATCTTTTCAATTGCTGTGGGAATGGTCTTGGAGCTTATCGTCAGAAGTTTTTGGGTTTGGGACTGAACTGAGTGCATATGGTTAAAAGAATAGGCAGAAGTATGACCAAGCACTTTCTAGCTTGGTCCATGTGTCATCAGGTTGAATAATGATTGGTTCAATAATGATAGTTGAGAAGGATAATTTCTAATTGTGTCGTCCTCTCCGCTGATCAGTACTTCCTTGCTAATGACAACAATTTGTTTTTCTGTTTGTCGAGGCGAGGTGGGACTATTTCGTACTCAGTTCAACGAATATATGCTAGCTTTTATCTTCTTATACAAGAGTCTGGCATCTGCCTTCTTATTTGCATTGGCAAGGTGGGACTATTGCCTCTTCCTCTAGGAGCAAAGCTGGCACTAGCAGGCAAGATGCGGTGCTGCTGCTTTGCACATTGGGCCGGCCCAAAATTAGATAGCTGTCCGGTGTTCTCCTATTCTCATGCACGTGAATGTGAGCTTCATTTTTTTCCCCAAAAATCCTATGTGTAGTGTAGTTCTATACTACTCACATGGAAATAAAAAAAAATATTTCAAATTCTATTCTATAAATCAGGCGCTGAGCAGACGCAACTATATAATATAAATATCGTAAAACTTCCACTCAAACAAACAGCCTTATATAGGTCGGTTGGTAAATGTTTCAAGTGTAGCCACAAAAGGGCAAGGCCGCATGGGTTCGACCCTCTCTACTGTATTTTTTTTTTATTTTTTTAGTTTTTCCTATGGACTTTTTTTAATACGTATTACATCTCGCAGTTAACTAATATAGACTTTTTTATAAGCAATATATCTCATGGTTAATTGGACTGATTACTATCATGTCTCGTCTAAGTGGACTAAAGGCCTAACAAAGTGGTAGTACAAATGTTCACAATTGGATACATCTTCATACTCTTCCCATATAACTATATGAGAAGATGTATTAAATCATGAACGATGTGTGTTGTCACTTTGTTAAAATCATTTGAGTTTTTTTATCTAACGATTATGTAACAAAACCATGCAAATTTGTAGAATTTTTTTGACAGAATTTAGAAGTATTACAATTATTTTATGTTAATTTAGGAATAGAAGGATGAATTATTCCTAGCAAAAAATGTAGAATTTCAATTGAAAATGTACTCAATTGCAAAATTGCAGACCCCATCGAGATCTACAACTTTGATTTAGGTCCTTTCTCCGTATGAGTTCGTTTGAACAATTTAAAAATTTGAATTTCAAAATTCGAGAACTTCAAACAGAATTTTGGGGCAGTAAATGATTTCAAATGGAAAAGTCAGCAACACCAAAGTTGTACAACTCATCGAGATCTATAACTTTTATTTTGGTTATTTCTCCACCCGATTTTGTTTGAACAATTTGAAATTCAAACATAATTTTTGATGTTTTTACCCCTGCATACAGACCGTGGAGAGAAAAGAAGTAACAGCGCTCTATATGCATCAACTAGGGATTGCCCGAGTGGTAAGCTAACTTGGTTTAGGAGCAGGACCTTGCAGGTTCAAATCCTTGTGCACCACATTTTGCACGCCAATTTTTGGATGTTTTTTTCTCCTGCATCCAGAGCCTAGAGACTAAAAAGAATAATGACGCCCTAACAGGCCGAGATACATTCTAATATCATTTTTTAAATTTTATTTTGAATTTTTTTGTATATTTATAGGAATTTCAAAAAATCAAGACGTTCAAGTACTGCTGAACAACATTATAGGAATTGCCCGAAACGGATTCATTATCTACTTTGGAAGACAAATTTGAAAAAAAAAACAATGGAAATGGAAAGTATGACAAATTTGTACCTTTTATGAGTTCATTTTTACGGACAAATATTTAGGCCTAATTTGGAAACTCCAATCCCTCCGGCATCCCAACTTTTCTCTGGGTGGGTAATTGATATCATTCTAGTTACTATTCTAGTTTTTAGTGGGAGGTTTTTCATCCCTGGTTTTTGCTCCCCCTTGCTTCCAAAAGAGCCCTTGCAACTTAAACTTAGCTGCACACTAAAGCATAGCTTAGTGGTAAATCTTGCAACTTTTGACTGAATAGGTTCGATCCCTACCACTATGTCCATTTTTTTTAAAAAAATCGTTTTTTCCTATTGACTTATTCAAGCATTACTTTTTGATGTTAACAAGTCAATTGCTCACTCACATTTTGTTCGAGTGAACTACTGGTCGCTGTGAGATAGTCAATCGCCCACTCTTAGGTTCAATCCCTACCACTATGGCTATTTTTTAAAATTTTTGTTTTTCCTATGGACTTATTTAAGCATCACTTGTCCGTGTTAACGAGTCAATCGCTCACTCTCACGTTTTGTCCGAGCGAACTACTATTCCAAAAATACTTGTATATCAATAAGGATTCCATAATGAAATATTGGTTTCAGAATCTAAATATTACCAATCTAAATACATCCTTGCCTTCTTAGTAATGGTATGGGAAACATCAATCAAAGCACGTGAGTAGACAGAAAACAGATCCCAAAAATGTTGTCACCGCATACAGAATAGTTAGAAGAAGGGTGCTCACATACTTTTCTAAAAGCCTTAATCAATTATTGCATCTCTCATTTGAAATGTAAAGAAGTTCCATTTCAGCATGACGGGGAAAAGTTAAAAATAAAACAATCTTCATAAAAAACAATCTTTCATATATGCAGCAGAGAAGCTTCATGTTGTGCATAACCTTCTGTCATCATTTCACCTCCCTCTTACAGGCAACATTTTGGTCTGTGCAACCATGATGTCTTCCAAACACTGTGATTGCCAATCAGATAAAAAACCCACCAAATGATGTGTGAAAGAGAAAAACAATTGATAATAAATTTTAACCCCACAAAATTTGAGTGTAGTTTCCCTCCCGCGGGTGATCCCCGGCCGACCATAGCTGGACATTTTGCGGGTGACCCCCGGCCGACTTGAAAAAAATCTGAGTGTAGTTTACAATGCTACTAACCTCAGTTCATTTGCTCTGCTCCATAGGGCTCCACACCCTCCCCTTGGGCACATTTCTTCGACCAACTGTGACCTGCACAAAAAGTGCAGCAAGTTTATCTATGTCTATCCATTTTCGATTGTTGCGATAAAAAACATATCATCAAAGCATTGGTAATAATAATAGCCATGATTGGGTTTCTTTTTATTGCTTCTAACAAAAAGAGGAACATATCGATGACTACAATCCGTGTTTGAGCCGTTTGAAAAAATAACTTTTAAGAGGCAAAAGGTTTGTTGCGGTCAAATGAAAGGGCTCAATTACTTCAAAACAACACATGCCAGGTTACCAGCATGAGTCTCCAAGTAACAGGAGGTTGCTGTTATTTGCAGCTAAATACTCCGATGGCACCATCACTGATCAAACTATTAATTAGCAACATAGGATAGCATGTTTTCCATTTTATATAAATTTGACAAGTTCATTGAGAGCGTTCCATGCAAATCTGTACTTGTAGCGAAATATACAAAGTATCTCCAATCACAACTATGCCTGGATATATGAAACGGAGACTATTAAACAAAACCATTGCTCATCTGTAGCACCATGTAGGAAGGAATTTCATATGCTATTTTGCAACATCCTGGGCTGTATACAAATCTGAGTGAGGGAGAGGAAGGCCTCACCTTGATGGGCACTAGGGACATCATAGTCCAGTCAGAAAGCAGCCAAGAAATGTTCCAGATGAAGAGACCTGAAAACCAAAAAATATCATATACTGATTTTCGTTGTTGTACATCAACTAAAATTTAGACTGTTCATATCAAAAGAAGGGCTCTTGACTGCAGTCCATTTCTACTCAGCTAGCTCCATCAATATAGTTACAAAGACAGCATTAGAAGTGGTTCCACACTTCCAGTAAACTGCTGCAAATCAACATTCATACGTACCTTGTAAGATGCATAAATTAAAACATTTGGTCTCATAATTCTGGGGAATCTTAACATGAAAGCTGCAAAAAGATTCCCTGTTCTTCTCTGCTCCTCAATGTCTGGAATAGTGCAGAGCAATAAAATCAAGCAGCAAACGTAACTTAAATAGCAAGATCATTATGGCAAAATCCTACTGATTGTTCGACTCCTGAGAGCGTCTTCTCCAGCACTGCCTCCTCAAGCCACCGCCTGATGCATACAACACCAAGCAATCAGAACTGAATCAGAACTCAAACACATTTCTCACCAAAATCAGAAAAGCAACAATGAGGAAAAGCATACCTGAGCCTCTGCCATAATGACACGTTCTTGCGTCCAGGCATGTCGAGATCGTGAAACTCACGTAGCTTCTTTGCAATCAGCGCAGATATATCCGGGTCGCATAGATCTGCCGTGGAGAGTGTCTGACAAAGCGAGGACGTGAGCAACGCGAGAATGAGCCATGACAATAGCCAATTCCCCATTGGATTCGAGCAGACGCATTAGGATGCATTCAGTCAGGACAAGCAGAGATTGATTTATGTTCGGAACAGTGAGACTAGCTATGTTCGGTATACAAAGCAGACAGGAACATGAATGTGATTCAGCACCCTGTCTGTCATTGCAAAAG